GTTCTTGCTTCCTCCTTTTGTAGCGAGCCTCCGTCGGGTTCGGCTAACTGATTCAACTTGACTGTCATGCATTCACACATACCCTCCACCCAATGTGCACCCATCCTGCACACTCTTCTTCTCCCCACCTGTCCTGTCTCTCGATTACAGGTTGTCCGACGCCTCTTCATGCGACTGCATGGCGTTGAACCTGCTGCGGTTCGTCTGAGTTCGTTCGAACTCGGCCAAGAGCGCCCCACAATTGAGGTCGGCCTCGTCCACCCACGTGGGTTCGTGGTAGCCCTTCCAAAACACTTGGAACTCTCGGTGTACGCGACCATATCGCGTGCGGCGTCCGGACCTCACGTCGGCGATCCGTTCCACCTCGTACTCATCCTCGCCCAAAGGAGTCTCCCAGCTGTCTTCCGGAAGCAGGGCTTCGTCAAAATCGACTCGATCTTCTTCATCCACCAGCAGGGTGCAAGTTGGACGATCGGGAAACGCCTTCACCAGCTTCAACTTCGACAGGTGCACCACGGGGAAGATGCGGTATTCTGTTCCGCTGGTTTCCACGCGTGCAGCATGATCACCGATGAGCTCGATCACCCGAAAAGGGCCGTGCCACATGTGGGCCAGCTTCCTCGCGAACCCTTCCTTCACTCGATCCAGGTAGAGCCATACTTGTGATCCTTGCTCGATCTTGTGGGGCCTAACTCGATCGTTGTGTTGGGCAGCTCTGGCTTCGATCGCCTTCCGGAGATCGTTGTTCACCACTTCTCTCGCCCGTCGATACTGCGATTGCAGACGATACCTCCACCGGCGGGCGTCGCTGTCTTTCCGCCTTGTAGATCCAATTGGGAGCGTCGCTTCCAACGTCGATCTTGCGTCCCACCCGTGCACCAGATAGAAAGATGTGTCTCCCCGCACTCGATCTTGCGCCGTGTTGAGGGCAAACGTCAAGCGTTCGGCGTAGTCATCCCAGTCCTGTTGATTGACATCGGAGACATACATCTTCAGTGCTCTCGTCAGCGTTTGGACCGTTCGCTCCGCTTTTCCATTACCCTGTGGCCGATAAGCCATGGTAGGACTTTGCCTCATCTTCACGATCCGGTTGAACGCGCGGAAGAAATCTGCCATGAATCCTGGTTCTCGATCGTGCCTGATTGTTTCACTCGCACCGAACCGCCTGAAGACACATTCTTCGTAGTTTTCCGCCACCGCTTGGGCTCCGCGTGATGATCCTGCCTTGGCGATCACGTATCCGGTGAACAGGTCAGCCCAGATCAGCAACTCCGTATTCCCTTTGAAGGACTTCGGCAGTGACGGGATATGGTCCATGGATATTACTTGGAACGGGTACGTGCCTTGTACATTCCCTGGCGATCTTCCTTGATCTGTGGGTTTCCCCTTCCCTGTCTCACAATCTGTGCATTCTCCTACGTAGCGCTGGACGCTTCGGTACAGGTTACGCCAGTGAAAACGCGTCCGGATTCGACGGTATGTCCTCCCGACACCCTGGTGGCCTCCCTCCAGGCTCGTGTGGTAATGATGGAGAAAATCTTGTTGCAGGCTCTCCGGCACCACCAGTCTGACGACGTCGTCGCGATCTTCGTCTCGTGTCAAGGTTCTCGGGCAGTAAAACAACAGTCCGTCTTCGTCAACTTCATACGTCGCAGCGATCTTCGAGCACGCCTTCGCATCTTCCTTCGACAGACCCTTCAGATCACCGATCAGGTACGCCTTCAGATCCGCGATCCACTTTTCTTCGTCTTGCGCTTGCTTGATCCGCTGACTCCGTATGCGTTGAACGATAGATTCGTCCATTACTGCCGGTGGCGGAGTTCGATCTACCGCAGATCGAGTGATCGCGTTCACGCGGGCCACTGGTCTGGTTGACTTCGGTTGCAGTATTTCGTGCAATCTGTTCAGCGTGATCAAGTCCTGCCGTTCTTCCTCGGCTGTCACGATCTCGCCTTCTTCACGTTGTAAGGCGGCGCTGGCGAGCTTGTCGGCGCTTTGATTCCAGTCTCGCTTCACATGCACGAATTCGTGCTTCGGCCAAGATCGCAGTTGGTTCAACGCCTTCTGGCGCAACAGCTGCAGGCCTGGTGCTTTGCAGTCGATCTCGCCTCTCATCTGGCGGATCACCAAGTTGGAGTCACCGCAGAACACGACTCGTCCCTTGGATTGGGTCGAGAGGAGATCGAAACACAGCAGCAATCCTCTGTACTCCGCTTCGTTCACGGTCAAGTCGGGCATGTGTTCAGACATCGCCTCGAGGATCGTCCACTCGGGGAGTTTCCAGAGGATCG